AAATTTCACACATTTCGATTAGTATTATAAAAATTACAACATATATATATATATATTTACATAACATATATTCTAGCTATTAAAAAATCAAAACTTTAATACAAAATATATACTACTTATGTGTCATAAGAAGAGTATCATTGTCTTGATATTTGAATATTAATTATTATATCAATAAGTAGTACAAATTAAAAAAAATAACAAAAATATATTTATTAGTCTTTTATAATGACATTTGTAGAGTAAATTATATAAATATATTAATATTATTAATGTTAAATATAATGACATAAAAGTCAAATGGTACTGATTTTATGAGACCAGAGTAGTATATTTTTTATATTAATGAATTTTTTTTAACCTAATATAAAAATAAAAAAAATCCAATTTTAACATACGAAAAAACTAAAGCCTTGATTTTTTATAAGATTATTTGATATTATAGAAAATACAACAAAATCTCTTTAGTGTTCATCTTTAAGGGTGCATTTTCTAGGTTTTGATTTTGAAATTCGATTTGAATATTAAAATTTTTAATTTGAATAGTTGTTTTATATGATATTATTAAAAATTGATGTAATTTTTAATATAAAATTAATTTTTAATTATAATAAAAGAAATAAGAATTTAACATGATCTTTTTGTCAAATTTCTCTTAATTTTATTATTTTAACTATACGTTTCTTAAAAAAAAAATTCTTTAAAAAACTAAACATATCCTATAAGAAAAATGTACTATCTTCCTTCGGTTAATATATCACATTAAATATTATTCAAATATAAAATCTAAACTAATTGTTCCCAAAATCACCAAAAAAAATACCCTCTCCGTTCCAGATACTGTGTTTGCTACACTGTAGACACGGTATTTTAGAAGGAGTGTAATTAGTAGATAATTAAGAATGTATTAGTGAAAATAATTATCCTATAATATAAATAATTATAAATTAAAATTAAGATAACTAATTATTTTAATTAAAATTTAAAAAAATAAAAAAATTTAAAATGAGATTAAAGTGTGTAATTATTTTCCAAAAAAAGAAAATGACATGGTATATGAGACGGATAGAAACGGCAACGTGGACATGGTATCTGAGACGGAGAGAATATATATATATTTTTCGGAGAAAAATTTTCGTAGATAATAAGAATATAAACAAATCGTCTAAACAAACAAACAATAAATAATTTTTTTATATATATTCAATTAGCTAAATCAAAACGTTTAGAGTAGACTAATTTTTCAAAATATAAATATGACGACATAATTATAACATGGCTCGACCTAGCTAGAAAAACAATAAATTATATAATACAATTGAATTTTAATAAAAATGTACAAAATATTTTATATTTTATTTATTATATGAAAAAATTTATATTAAATTAAAATATGCACAAAACATTCTTTACATCCAAAAATAATATTTAGTTGTATATAAAATGATGTTTGATTGTCTCGTAAAGGACGACCTCATATTGTGAGATGAATTCGTGATCGAACATCAATTTTAGAAAATATATATTTTGCACATACTTTTATTTAACATAAAAATATTTCACGCATTAAATTAAATACAAGAAATGTTATGTAATTATATTGCTCCCTCCGTCTTCAATAATTAGTAAATAATTAAGAAATATATTAATAAAAATAATTATTATTCAATAAATAATTATATATTAAAATTAAAATAATTAAATAATTTTATTAAAATTATAAAATTTAAAATATTAAAAATAAACATTTTATGTGAGATGAAGAAATTAATATTTTCTCTGTTATCCAATTGTGCGTTCATTTTGATCAAACACAAATTTTTAAAAAAAAGAAAGTATAGAAACCTACTTTTTAAGGTTAAAAAAAATAGAAAAAATAATATTTTATTTACTTTAAAAAAACGAAAATAAATACAAATGACAATAAAAATGGAAAGTAAAAATAAATTTGGATAATAGAAAAGATAATTATATAAGATATATACGAAGTAGCAATCTACCATCGAAAAATTATACTCATTCCATCCCATGTAATTTATTTTTATTTTTTATTTTCGTTTGTCCTTCATATTTTGTCATTTTTTTTTAAAGTATAATTTTATATTTTAATCATATTTTAAATTTCAAATCTTATAATTTTTTAATCTTAATTAAATTATTTAGTTATTTAATTTTAATTTATAATTATTTTTACTAATACACTTTTTAATTACTTATTAATTACTCTCTTCGTCCGCCTCTAATGGTGAATTAGATATTAAATTTTGCGTCATTGTACTCTATATTAAATATATTCTTTTAGTATTACAAGACATTAGTGAAAGTATTTCAGTAATTTTTTTTAATTTGTACTACGTTTTGACATAATAATTAATATTTAAAAATCAACACATAGAAAATAAATGAAACACTTAAAATCGGACGAAAGTAGTATATTTTATGGGTAAACTGTTTTTTTAGTCCCGTAACTTGACCCCTTTATCATTTTAGTCCCGTAAGTGGAGCCTGTAACAAACTAGTCCTATAAGTGAAAAATTTTCGTTGTTTTAGTCCTCCGGCGCCGAAGATGCTCGCATGGCTCGCCGGAGGTGACGTGTCCACCAGGTGTCGCTGACCTGGCGGACACGTGGATTTTTTTTTTTCATTTTTTTAAATTTTTTTTAAAACTTATTTTTAATTTATTTTATATTTTATTTGTATTTTTTTTATTTTTTTTATTTGGTCCAATTTAAAAAAATAAAAAAATTAAAAATAAATGAAAAAAAAAAAAATCCACGTGTCCGCCAGGTGTCGCTGACCTGGCAGGACACCTGGCGGACACGCCACCTTCTGCGAGCCACGCGGGTGTCTCCGACGCCATAGGACTAAAATAGCAAAAAATTTTCACTTATGAGACTAGTTTGCGATATGCTCCACTTACAAGACTAAAATGATAAAGAGGTCCAGTTACGGGACTGAAAGAACAGTTTATCTATATTTTATTTATGCTCTCGTATTTACAGTAATAGTAGGTATATGGAACGGATGGAGTAAAACATTACATACGAATAGCCCGATCCGGCCCAACCCAACCATTTTCCCATTTTATTTACATATATACCGGGGCAATATTTAAATAACAGGTTTTTAAAGGTTAAAAAAATAAATAAATGACGAAAATTGCGTGCATGGGAAGTGTTCCTTACTCCTCTGACCACACTGCACCCGCCACCTGTTCTTCTCTCTCCTCATTTTTCATAATTAATTATTTGACCATACATATACTTTGAATTCTCTTAATTGCCCCTACTACATTACTCACAATTTTAATACCACTTCTACTTCTACTCCTACTTTTATTTGCTTCATTTCTTCTTTTGCTAAATAAAATAATTTTTTAAAAAATAAATAATATTAAAATTAAAATCACTATTAATTAATTCATTCGAATAAATGAAGTTCCTATGGGTACTGGTCAAGTTGGCAAAAAGATATAAGTATGATTGCGTATTGGTGCAAGCTATTAGTTGAAGAACTGAAGGGGACAATATATTTTATACGCGACAGAAATTTGGGTTATGTATATTTGCTTAATTTATAATACGACTGATTAATATTTTTCTATGATAAATATATAATTTTTTTGTTATAGAAAAAATAAATAAATATAATAATAATCAATAATAGCATATACAATTGGGATTCAACCTTTAAATATCATGGTTTCAATAACTAAAGTATTTTTTAATATTCTTTTCATCTAAAATAATTTTAGGCATGTTACGTTTACTTTTTTTTTCTTTGTTATTTTTTAGTTTTGATTTTTTTTTTTTTAAAATAGAATATTAGGTTTTAAATGAAAAATGTGTATTGAATATACTTTTTTTTTTTTCCGAAATTGAAACATGGTTTAGAAGATTATAGCTATTTTAACAAGTCAATAAGCTGTTGAATAATATACTATTGGGCAAATGAAATTATATAAAGAGAAGGGCTGTGTGATATTTGGATTATATTTGTATTTTTATTTAACTTATAATTACTTGATGTAAAAATAATATATTTTAGTTTATAGAAAATAGTGAGAGAATTACACGTTGAAGAAATTGAAAAGATAAAATAAAAGAATCCATTATATTTGTTTGATTTTGATTTGAGATTGAGATTCTGATATGAATTTTAGTTTAAATACTAGTAATATTTTGATTTAATAATTTTTGAGAAAATCATTTCATTTGAATAATAACAATTTGAGTTTGAAATTAAACCAAACACATATCTGGACTATTATTAGCTTTAAATCTTCAAATGATTAAAAATGAATGCATTTGGTGAAAATATTTCATTCGTTTTAAACATTATGCAACATTTGTATTTGACACGAAAATTTAGGTAAGGAGTATTAAGTATAGTAATTTGAGATAATTTAGATATTAAATGATGTGATTAGAGAGAAATAATTATTTATTTTTTATTTGAACGATGTGATGTGATAAAATGAAGTGTATATTATATATATATAAATCATATTAATTGTTTCTAAATTTAAAAATATTGCAGTAAGTTTGAAAAAAAAAAAAAATATTGCAAAGTATTTGAGACGAAATGAGTAATAACCATTACTATAATTATAAAAATATAAAGTAAATATTAATACATGCTTATCTATACAATTTTTTTTCATTTTAAAATTTTAAAATAATAACATCGCATATGATATATTTCATTTATAAATAAAATAAAATAAAATAACCTAAATATAGAAACAAAAATCCATATTCATATATTGATTCCAAGGCGCAAAGAAACCAAAATCATTACCATAATACTAGGGCTACCTATTCCCAGTCTCGTAAATTCGGTAAACTACTATGGTCATTTTAGTAAAATCACATCTGGGGCCCACACAGTTGGCGTACGGCAAGTGAGAGAAGTTTGCTGGACACTCATACACACACATATATATACACACACTTATGTATATATATAATGATTAATGGTCGAGGGAAGAAGATTGCAGTTATTTGGTAGGATTGTTAGGACAGAAATTAAACAACATTACTACAACAGAAATGGGACGATCTCCCTGCTGCGATGAGAGCAGTGGTCTGAAGAAAGGGCCATGGACTCCAGAAGAAGACAATAAGCTCACCACCTACATCAACAAGCACGGCCATGGCAGCTGGAGAGCTCTCCCCAAGCTTGCTGGTAATCAAAAATAATATTATAACATCATTAATTAATTGATTAATTATGTAATTAAATGAATAATTAGAAGTAGTGCAGGTCTGAACAGGTGTGGCAAGAGCTGCAGACTCCGATGGACAAACTATCTCCGACCAGATATCAAACGTGGCAAATTCTCCCCAGAAGAAGAGCAAACTATTCTCAATCTCCACGCCATTCTCGGAAATAAGTATAATTATATATATATATAATTTTTTTTTTCAATTATTTTTTTTATTAATTAATTGAAAATCTCAGGTGGTCCGCCATTGCCGGCCACCTTCCGGGAAGAACAGACAACGAGATTAAAAACTTCTGGAACACCCACCTGAAGAAGAAGCTTATCCAAATGGGACTCGACCCCGCCACCCACCGCCGCCGCGCCGACGACATTTTCGCCGCCGTCCCCCACCTCCTCGCCGAGCTCGCGAACCTCGTCGGAAACCCTTCCTGGGAGTTTTTCCGATCCGAAGCCGCGGCTACGATCAATCACCATTACCTGCAGGGCATTCTCCAGCAGCCGCTTCCGCCGCCGCCGCCGCCGCTTCCCTTTTTCCAGAACAGCTTTTCGAGCCAGATAGATACGCCGGCGGCGGCGCTAGCCGGCTATCTTCAAGACTCGGCTCCTGGATTCTCCCATTTGCCAGATTTGCAGAGCGCCGGAGAAACTTCATCGCAGTGGCTGGCGGCGCCGCCGCCGCCGCTGACGGCGGAGACGTCTGTTACTAACACTACCGGGGATGCTTGCAGCGCATCCAGCTATGGCGGAGCTGACCAAATTTGGTCTCAGCTGTTTGACGATCCTCTCTTCAATGAGATGGCTTAGTCGTCGTCTTCCATAACTGTTCACACATATGTACATTATATATATATATATATATATATCTGAAGAAGGTTTGTAAAATTTTCCTTTTAATTAATTAATTTTCTTGGGTTTCTTCTTCATCAATTTCTCATTTTCCAATTCACTTTCTATTCAAGTATTGCCACATACGGAAAGAACACTTTGTACATAACAGCATATCTTTGTATCAATTTACAGAATGAGAGATTTTTCATATTGTAAGCAATGATTGGCAAATCGATTTAATTACGTACATTTTAGGGTTTTCTATTTATTTTTTTTTAATTTCTTTTTAAATTTATGACTACCATCCATGCATTGATTCGGTTACTGTTTATCTAATTATTTATTAAATTTGATGTAATACTATTGTATTGTAGGAAAATAAAAAGATTTAGTACAAAAATTAATTGTTGACTGAAGTTATATATGTATATATATTGTGTAAGTCCAACCACTACACATCTACCTCTCAGCAGAATGTAAATATTTGGTTGATAATCATTGGCCCGATTACAAATATTAGTTACTTAGTTTTAATTAGAGTCCAACTGACCAATAAATTATTGTCAAAAAGGTGACGCACAAGTGGTTAGGAAATACTTATGAAAAATTATTGATTAATTACAATATATGTTGCTCAAAAAACTTATTATTAAGTCATATATATTTTTTACTAAGTACCGATTGATCGATCGACAGTGGAATACTATCTTTGTTCATTATGTTTCCATTCACTTATATTACGTAAATAAATAAAAAAATAGTTTTTTATATACGTATAAGAATGTATTCTCATAAAATACTCCATCCGTCTATTTTCTAATGTCCTAAGTGATATTTACACGTTTTTTTAGGTAATTAGTTTTTTATTGTAAATTGACAATAGTCTTTTATTTTGTGTATAGATATAAAAAAGATAAATAAAGTAAGGGTAAAAAGGACAATCATTTTTAGATGTTCCAAATAAGAAAATAAGACATTAGTTTGTCGACGGAGGGAGTATATAATTGATCCATGGGATCCTTCGTCTCAAAAATAAATCATATCCCTCTATCCCAATTTACATAATTGTATATACGTATATATATAATACATACATATATGTGTATATATATATTATGTGTGTGGGAATAGAGAGATATAATGTATTAATGGGACAGAGGATCTGGTTCGCCCACTTATTAAATTTTTGGATTATATCGAATTACTTAATTTAATTATAATTATAATTCTTAGCATATACTTTGGGCGTATTTAGTTTGTATTTGTGTTGTGTTTGTAAAGTAAGTTAATTTGATGTAATATTATATATATTTATTTTAGAAAACATGATATTTGTACGGTAAAAAATTTATTTAAAAAACAAAGTCTTTGTGTTTGTGTGTATATTTTTACGTTTTGATTATGTTTTAAATTTTTAGAAATAAAAAATATATATAAGTAAAACATAATATATATATATATAAGGTAATAATACAATTTAATTAATTCTTGTGGATTTAATATTTAACGATATTAAAAAGTCTATTAAATAATGTATAAATAGTTGAATATGTTATTGGCAAATTGAACACTCAATATACGATTTCTACTTATTGACAAATATATATATATACATATATATATATATATAATATATATGACAATTTGTTTAACCATTAATTTTATACCAAACTCAAATACATGGAACATTAAATAATATTATATATATATTATATTTTTCAATACAATGAATCTAATCAATATGTGCGTAGTTAAAAGATGAAATAGGCCGATTACGATAGTTGATAATTATTTACTAGTCTATTGTCTTTTATAGACAGTTATGTAAAATATCTGTCTATGACATTATTGATACATAATTTAAAATGCAAATATATTTCTAAATAATATAATTAAAAATTTCTATTAAAAATAAAAAAAAAAAAAAAAAAATTAACATTAGAAGTTATGATATTGAATGTTATTATTATGTTACAATGTTAAAGACAATTAAAATGTTTGTGTGATAGGTTTGCAAGTTGGATTTAGAGTTAGAATAGTAAAATTTTAAATTGAAATAATTATTTTATAAGTTACATTAGAACATTTTCCCGAATCTCCGATATTTCGTTTGGAAGATGATTGCTTAAATCAAGCTATGGAAAAGTAATTGATCCCTATGTTTTCGTATGTAAATGACCCATGCCAATACAATATGGATGCCCTTTTAACTTTTTATGTTTGAACAAGTAATAAAAAAAATATGCACAAGTTTGGACATAACGAGGGTATGTATACATATCATTCTTTCTCTTTTTTTTTTTTTGGTCGACCTTAAAGCTACACAAGAATGTCTTTCTTTGCAAGACCTCGGTTGCTAATATTTTCTTTTCATTCGAATCTTCAAAATCTGATTCAAGACAACTAAGGATTATCTATCCTTATTTCAGCCAACATCCCTAGTATTGTTAGAGCTCTATAAGGTTCATTTCTTGAGATAATGGCGCGGCGCATTATCCATTTCCTAACAATGGTATCGTACTTAAAGGTAGGATGTACGTGAATGTAAAGATAAATGGAGAAAGTGTAATATGCATGATTAATATGGGATTTTATAAGAGAAAAAATCAGTGTATTCTTTCTACGAAATATTAATACATATTTTTTTTTCAAAAAAAATTAATACATTGCATACATTTATTATTTTTATATTACTATACAATTCTTTATATCTTACATAAAAAAAATATCTATTTAAACTATTTTACAAAACAAACACACCAAATGTATTTAATATGATATTTTTAAAAAGAAAATAGTGTCAAAATTCTAAAATTTATTGCGTGAATAAAGCCTATAGAAACTCAGTTTAGACAATGATTTTTGGAATTTTGAAAATTTAAAAACAGTAAAAATTTAAAAATTCAATGTCATATTTTTAAGAAAAAATATATTCAAAGTGATATTTTTATAAAATTAAATAGTGTCAAAATTTCTAAACCGATCCCGGGATCGATATGACATCATAACATAATCACTAAACACACTTTAGCTCACTCACTAGCACGAGAGTATTTCTAATGAATTCACTTTTTTAAAAAAATAAAAAAAGAAAAAAAAATCATGAATAAAATCTGGAAGAAAACAAAAAAGGCAATTATAGAAGATGTTCGAATAGTTACTTAAGGATAAAAAAGGAAAGAGGAAGAAGTAGAAGTCGTGCAGCAGAAGAAGTCATACTATAAATAAAATTATTCTACCTTCGATAAAGAAATTTATGACATACTTATTTAACTTGAATTGCTAACCTTAAAATTTCAAAAGGGGCAGGTTACAGATGACCTGCAGCTATATATATTCTTTGCCAACCATGGACATTACTTCCTTCTCTTAGCCCTACGATCGATGCCTATGCACATAGTGTTGCTTCACATTCGGGAAAAATAAACTGTTTTTATTTGTGACATTTTTTGTCGATAGGGGAGGGATCGATATCTATATATATCTATGCCAACATTCGTCGCTATCATCGTTTTTGGTGTATTTGTACGCATGCGCGAGTAGATTATTTATGTCGATTTTAAGAAAGAACGAAAAAGAAGTCGTAATAGGTCCTCATCGGATTGAAATTTAATCAAAACAATATTTTGGTTCTATTATAAGTTTTGTGATATTTTAGGTCTTGTTTATATATTAAAATTATTATTTTTAAGTTCTGTTTATCTCCGATGTCTACTTGTCATATAGCACTGGATTTCGACATAACATACTTATGTTTGCAATGTACATGCTCATGTATTTATTTATTTATATATATATACAATTTTGGATTTCTTTCTAGTAATGTCTGAATATGTAAATGTTGTTCTTCAAGTGCGTATTGGGTAAATATCTGGGGACGTAAACAATTTTGGCTTAATTGTGGATAAATAGTTGTGCTAGTAATGAAAATGGCCATGGACATGTATATAAAGTTCAAAATTTTCATTAAAAATTTGGGTAAACTGTTTTTTTAGTCCCGTAACTCGACCTCTTTATCATTTTAGTCCCGAAAGTGGAGTCTGTCGCAAACTAGTCCCATAAGTGAAAATTTTTCGCTATTTTAGTCATCCGGCGTCGGAGGCGCCCGCGTGGCTCGCCGGAGGTGACGTGTCCGCTAGGTGTCCCGCCAGGTCAGCGACACCTGGCGGACACGTGGATTTATTTATTTTTTTTATTTTTTTTAATTAGACAAAATAAAAAAAATACAAAATTAAAAAAAAAATTAAAATTAAGTTTTTAAAAAATTTTAAAAAAATGAAGAAAACGTGTCCGCCAGGTCAGCAACTCTTGGCAGACACGTCACCTCCGGCGAGCCACGTAGGCATCTCCGGCGCCGAAGGTCTAAAACAACAAAAATCTTTCACTTATGGGACTAATTTGCGATATGCTCCACTTACAGGACTAAAGTGATAAGGGGGTCTAGTTACGGGACAAAAAAAGAGTTTACCCTTAAAATTTTAATACAAGTTTGATAATAGACAAAATTAATTATATTCCAACACACTTAGTAGTTTGGAAAGTTTGCACGGTTTTCTTCCATAATTTAAAAATTATATGAGAATACTTTATATTCTTAAAGTAATTATACAAAATCCTCTTTTTTTGTGAAATAATTTTAGAAATACAAGAAAATTTCGTATAATTTTAAGAAGATTTTGTGCAATACTTTTTAAAAAATACAAGAATTCTCATATAATTTTTGAATTATATTAGTGTATAATGACTATTTTTCAATCCACATGTGAATTATATATAATTTCGCTAAAATAATACCTCTAGAACTGACGTGCTTTCATTTCTTTTTTAACTTATTTGAAGTTTTAAATTTAAATTTAAATAATATATTAATAAAATATTTTTTAAGAAAAAAATTTGTATTTTTTTCCAAAAATCTAAAGTTAAATAGTATATAAAAATAGGAAGAAAAAAAATCAATAAATAAAAGAAAAACCAACAATTAATTTTTTATCC